AAACTGTTTTCCTCAGGAATTCTGTCACAGCAAGGAAAGGCCAGCATACCATCCGTGTCCCTCTCTCATACAGCAGGGAAGGAGCGATCGGCTGCCCACAGCCTAAGCTGCCTGAGCCTCAGCCTCCCTGTGCCTCCTGTGTCATGAAGCAGGTCCTTTCTGGCTGTCTCTGGCTACTTCCTGTCTTCCCCTCAGGCCCTAACCCTGCGAAGGTCCTGGGTCTCCTGCCGCTGGCTGCACGGCCACCTGCATGTGGCATAAATGAGGCATAAAACGAGGACCGAGGACCAAGGACAGACGCCCCTGTGGCCTGCTACAATAGCAGCACAAGCAGCCACTCCGTTTCCTGTCCTTTCCTTCATCTCCCCCCAATAACTAATCTTCCTCATTCTTCCTTGGGATTGAAGTGGGCCTAGCCTCGTTCACAGCCACTCTCAGCTCTGCAGTCACCTCCACTGCCAGGCGGAGCTCTGGTCTGCAATTCGCCTGTCACCAGCGGCTCAGAATCACTGTCTATGTTAATCATAGGCCCACAAAATTCACTTTCTCCCCTTAAAAACTGCAGTATTCTTGAAATGTTCAACTGTGGCAGAGACAATTTAAATGCATAAGAACATCCCCTTAGGAGATAATTTCTATGTTAACACATAGCAACCTTGGTGGACAGACACCATAGATTCAAGATGAAATAAATGAAGAACAGGGCAGGAAGACCGAAGGAACCCAAGGCCCCTGGCTCGGGTTCCCACCCAAGGGAAGGTGACACACAGGATAAACCTTGACAGTGGTTGGCAGAAATCCGAGGATCCTGGACCCACCATCACCCAGTTACTGCTCCAGTTGCTTCCACAGGGATGAGGTATTTCACACAAACAGCACAGCAAGACTCCACAGGATGGCCTAAATCAAAGCACTATACAAGCATCTCTCAAAATGGTGACTTTGTTTTTAAACACTACCCAGCCCTCTCGCCAAGATCCAGGGAGAGATAGGATACCTGAATGACTCTCTGCTGGCCCTGCTCAACCTGTTTCCAGTTATCAAGGGCATCATCTGGGTAGCCACAGACGTGTCCTAGCAATCTACTGTGGGCTCCTGAGATCAGAATGCTTTCAGCGAGACTCTCTAGGCAAGTGCATTCTGGCAAGGAAGGTGAGTTCACTGGAGCAAAGAGGCAGTGTCAAGTGGGCAGCTGAGCGCAGTGTCTGATCTTCCTGGCAGCCAGTCGAGGTACCAGCACCCCAGGCCCACTTCAATCCCAAGGAAGAATGAGGAAGATGAGTTACTGGAGGGAAATGAAGGGAAGGACAGGAAACAGGGAGTGGCTGCTTGTGCTGCTATGGTAGCAGGCCACATGGGCATCCGACCCCACTCCTCGTTTCAAGCCAAGAGCTCCCCTAGAAGGCAGAGGCTCTGTGCCCTGTGAACTCACCTCGGCCTGTCTCCGCACATCCCCACAGGGAAAGGTCTGCAGTACAGGGTCAGGCCAGAAGCACGTTACAGATCCTCTTTCTAAAGAAGACTTCTCACAAGCTAAATCAACCCAAGCCCTTTCCTCAGGCTCCTCACAGCATTGGAAACAGTTATTTAGAGCAATAAATCCCAACAGTTAAGCAGCTTTTACGTCAGAGAGCCAGGGCCTGGCTCTGGCGAAGTTCACAAAGAACAGCAATAAAATCATAACATATACCCCACCCAGCAGCAGAGGGAGTTTAAAGGAAAACTGGTAGACAAGAGTTACACATCAAACAAAATGCCATTTTATCACCAGGGTGGAGCCAAACTGCACCATCAACCTGGGTGAGAGAACTCAATGGCGCTGGACTCCCCTGGGGCCTGATGTCCAGCAGCACTGCAATAGGCCACACAGGAGCAGGGCAAGCAGGCAAGACTCATGCCAGGTAGGTGGGCAGACAGGCAAGGGCAAGCCAGGCAGGCTAGGGCGAGGGCTGGGAGCCAGCCAGGAGAGGAGGCACCCGCGATCCCAGGGAGAGGACAGGCACTGCAGGGAGCAACAACCAAATGTGCCCAGTGCGCTGGAGGCCCTGGGTCCAATCCCCAGCACCAAAACACAGAGAGAGTGAGCGAGAAGCGGAGAGAGAGAGAAAGTGCAAGTTGAGTAATTGGGTATTAATTATTATTCTTCCTCCCTAAAAGTCATTAAAATGACAAAATATGAATAAAACTTGACAAGATTTATAGCAACACTTGACAATGGGTGAACAAGTGCATGAGCTGATGAGAAATTTGGAGAATTTCCTGGAAACCATGAACCTGACAGGATCCCAGAATGGGCAGTCACTAGTGAGGCCCCACAGCAGCAGTGAAGCGGGGGCATATGTCAGGCCCAGCCGACTGCCCCAGCCATGCACCAAGAAGGAGCCGTAGGGTGGCCAGTGCTGATGGCTGGCAGGGAGAGGGGAGGTGCGCACGGCACACGGTGTCCAACTTGGGGCAGGCCCTGGAGGAGAGCTGAGGGATGGGGAGGAAACAGGAGCACCCAGCAAGCTGCAGGCCCTAAGCAGACAGCTCCAGCAATGGACAGAAAGGAAGGCTCCAGTCAAGAGGCAGCCTTGCTCCATCCGCACCTTTGCCAACCCACAGGCTAGAGGGTGGAGGGTGGGCAAGCGACGGTGACACATGCACAGCCTGACAGGGGGCAGGGCTGCCCAGATAGGCCAGGGATGAAAATAAACATCAGTGAATTAAGTTCCCCATAAAAAAGGCAAAGACTCTCTAGAAGGGAAAAGTCAAAATCCAGCTGTCTATGTTTACACAGATCAGCCTTAAGGCAGGCAGTCAGGAAAGGTCAGAGATAAGTGGGTTAGGAAATATCTGTTAACCAAAAAGACCGGGATAGAAATATTTTTATGAAACAAGATTAACTTTTGGCAAGTAAACATTAAATCATGAGAAAGACATTGTACTGTGAAAAGAGACCTGGTCTACCAGAAGAACAGTCAATAATTTTTAAGCACCGAAAATAAAAAAACTCTGAAATATATAGAGCAAAAACTAAAAATAAAAGGTTAATGTGAAAAGAACATTACAAAAGTATAATCACAATAGAAAAATTCACTTTTCCCAGAATTGAGCAGACAAAAAGAGTAAAGCTATATTGATTTAAATAAGTCGACTGAGTTAATACATATCAATAACATATAAAGCTTACAGTTATTCATATATATAAATATATAACATATGAGTGAGAAAATTTTACATAAAATACTGATAAATACATATGAGCTTCTTTAGACTAAAAAAAAAAAATAATAACAGGGGCATACTTTTCTTCAGATGTCTGGGTGGTATGTACAAGATCTGATTATGTCTATACCAGTCATGCGAAAGTATGCATTCCCCCATTTTAAGCAATTAGGTGAACACAATAATTTCCCCCAGCACGCCAACAAAAATAAACTATATGCAATCTATCCAGTGCTGGTGTGGTACAAATGAAGGGGAGCATGGCTCCTTGTGAGCAGTGACTGAGGTCAGCCGAGACAGCTCTCTGGAGCACTTTCATAGCACACCTCTGGATGCAGACACACACTGCCAGCCAACCTAGCTTCTGCCTCCTAGAATTTGTCCAGTGGAGACACTTTTAAAAATGTACAAAATATATGTAGAATAATTTTCTGATGCCAATTTTGAGATGTTATGAATAGCCCTGCAACTACATAAATACCCATTTACAAGCTACCAAAAAGAATGTCAGATTTATATTCAAACATGTCCACAACATATTATAAAAGAACAAAGCAGGAAACAGATCCCCAAGCAGACAATGTGTACTATTACAGTGTGTACATGCTAATGCTTCATGGTCACAGCAAAGAGTCACACCTCCACTTCCACAGCACCCCCAGAAGTGGAGGCAGAGCTGTACACCAGTCAGTCCTACTGTATACCCTTGAATTCACAGAGTTTAACATTTTCCTTCAATGATCATAAGCCATTTTATATCAATCAATACATGAACAATCTGAATCAGTAAAGTCTCATGGCTAAATAAAGCCTGGAACCCTGCCCTCTGGAGCACTCAGATAAGGCCAAGCACACCCTCATCTGAGGGCAATTCCAGAAGGAGAGGCCCAGGCACTGAGCCACCCCACAAAACCAGGCCCAAAGCGAAAGCTGACAAGCCCTGATACAAGCACCTGACCTGGCGCCCACCCAGGCCTGCTCCTCAGGTGGACATGGGATAGGCACCGACATCCACGTGCTCCATAGACAGTATGCGAGGAGGGGCCAGAGGCTGGGTAGCTATGCCAGTGGTCCCACAGGAGGTCCATACCTTGAGGTACAACAGGCAAGGCCCTCCAGGTTCATCACAGTGCAAGCTGTGACTCTCCGGGGTCAGGAGGCATGAAATTCCACACATACAAGCCCTAAACACCTGAAAATGAGGGCCAGACACAGGGGGCTTCCAGTCCCACTCCACCATTGCCAGTAACGTGACCTAGGAGAAGGCTCTTCTTCCTGCAATTCTGAGACCACCTAGGGCTGCTGGGAAATCTAAATGCTTGTCAAGCACTCAGTGCTGCATGCAGTAAAATAGAGTAGAACCCTGAGAGTGACTCTAGCCACTGCCTGTGGGTGCCGACCATGGCCTTCTCCCAGCCTCTGCCCAGGGCCCTTCACAGAGCACCCCCAACCCTAGTAACAAACAGCTGGATCACGAAGTAACTGTCTAAACCACAAGCTGGCCTCCCAACATCACCTCACTCCAGAGCAATTCTATTCTTCTGGAATCAAAAAACTGCCATATCAGCATGCAAATCAAACCCAAACTAACTCAGTTCCCCACCAGGTCTTTACTAGCTCCTCTTTCACTGAAGATTAAACAAGCTACCTGCACTTAGCACTGTTAGAAACCGACAGTGGCCATTATCAGGAAAAACAAAAGTCTGGAATCCAGTCAGTAGGTTGTGGGGACAGCAATGTGCTTTCAGTCAGGACAGCCTACTGTTTGCAGAGAGCGAGGACTTGGGTCTTACCTGGATGGCTTTGGGAGCTCATTGCTAGCAGCGTCTAAGCCTTTAGTCAACTGAAAATGGCTCAAAGGTTCCACGTAAACAGTAGCTCCAAAGAGCTGCAAACTTCCACCAACACATACAAGTAAAGAAATGAGAAGGGTCGGGTCAGAGGTGCATGAGCTCCGGAGTCTCACAGCTGGTGTCTTGAACAGCAAGTAATCCACAGGGAGAGCAGAGGTCTTCACCTGGCCTTGCAGCAGTGAACCTGCGTGGTCAGAAAAAGAAGAGAGCTTCAGTGAGGGCAGAATGCTCTCATGCACAGCAACCTCTAACTGAGGAAGCAGAGATTCAGTCTTCAGCCTGTTTTTACCAGGGACTGGTAAAACAATTCACACTGATCCATTTCTACCATTCCCAGCTGGGATTTTTGTTGGCAAATCACACACATAAGCAAGTGCCACTGTACAGCATGGTTCCCAACCCTAGCAATGACATCACAGAATGGGTGTTTGGGTGCTGGGGTAGGGCTCTTCGTGCACTCTAAGATACCTACTAGCATCCATGGCCTCCACCCACCCGATGTCAGTAGAGCCAGCACCACGACCATCACCACCACCAGTCATGACAACCAAAATGTCTCCAGAGGGCCAGTGTCACCTAATAACCACCACCAGCATGGGGTGAAACTCTCTGACCTACAGGTACCACCTAACCCATTCCCCAAAGCTTCCTCATCATCAGGCTGTCGGAAGGAAGCAACACCCTATCAATATCCCAACTGGTAAGAATGTACTCCAATCTACATTATTTTGCAAAATAAATGCAAAGGGAAACATTTTAAAAGAAAAGGCATTCAGCCTGCTCCCACCACACACATTTTCATTTTTTGACACATACCCATCCTGTACCCATACACATTTAAAACCATGTAGTTGGCTCACAGAACTAGACCTTAATTCAGTTGTCTCCATTTCACAGTGCACCTTAAATCACTCCCCAGGTTTCCATTTTAATAACTACCTTTGCTGGGGGTTATTTTTCATTTTCTGATGATAGAAGAAATGCATGGTCCTCCAGGAGAGTATTTAAAAGGCAACCGGAGGAGGCACTTGGGAATACCCTGACAGCTCCTGCAGCCATCTCTGCCTCCCAGCTAAGGAACTGTCAGCCACACAGGGCCTGGCTCTCCAGCCAGTATCTCCTCAAGCATTGTCAGAGCCTGGTAAATGTGCTGGAGAGGAGGTCTGGAAAAGAGCAAACCATGGATTCCAGACTGTCCCCCAAAAGCTGACTCTGCCAAAGAACACGGTCACCGCAAAGATCAGCCCAAAAGACAAACCCAGGAATGCCTACCCCCGAGACCCAGACTGACCCTACCCAGTGCCTTCTGAGGCTTCTGTGTTCATGTCTTCAAGACTGTAACAAATTCCTTGTCTTGATTAAATTAGTTGAGAACCACCCCTCAAGTTCTCGTAACTAAAGAACCCTAACCAAGCTATCGTGTCAGAGACTGCCCCAAGGGTTGGTTGTTGAGGTAGTTTCCAATCTTACATGGTTATCTACAACTGCAGCTCATATCTTTATGACTACTGTTCTGAGTCCCTCAGGTTCAGGATTGTTACTTCTCTTGGTCTGAAAGAAATATCATTTCCTTGAAGGGAATGTAGATGGCATGATCCCACAAACCTCTGTGAATCTCAGAAAGGATTCTGCATCCTTCACACAAAAACCACATCTTGGCTGAGTATAAGTCTTAGATCATACACATTCCTCCCTCAAACCCTTCAGAGGCTGCTCCCTACTCAGCACTGTGGAGAATTCTGCTTAACCACTGTTCCTGCCTAAACTTTGAGGGACTTGGTTTTGGTGCTGTTGTCATTTTCTTCGGCCTGGATTCCACTAGTGTATCTTTTCTCTAACCCTACAATTCAAAAGTGCTGTCAGAAGGTAGATGGGCTAAAGTGTGTTCATTTACTTTGCTCAAAACATGACCCTTTCAATACACACTGGTCTTCTTCCTGCTCAGGAAAATATTCTTCCATTACATCTTTGGTTATTATTCTTATTAAACTTGTTCTGGCTTCCTGAGAGATTCCTATGCTGTTGGCTGGAACCTCTCCACAGGATCTGGCCTCTCTCACCGCTGACACATCTGTTGTTTATTCTGCATTCCTGGGCAGCTTCTCCAGTACGTTCCCTACACAACTGCTGGTATTTTCTACAATGTCAGCTTTATTCTTTATGACTTCTGATATGGAGTTTAATTAAGCCTTAAACTTTGTTCTCAACCACTTCCCTTGACAATTCATTCCATTATCTCTCCTACTTGGACTATCCCTCTTCTTCATGACCTCCTGCTTCTGTTTTTAGAGCCATGTCTTCTAGCCAGTCTTCTGGAAAATCTTTTTCCTGATTTAAATTGTAAGTCATTTTTGGGGGTATATTCTTGGGCACTGCAGAATACTCCCCTCTTGTCCACTTCTGGGGACACCTTTCTTGACAGATCCCAGGTCAGGGACTGTTGGTTTACACACCCTTAAAGAACAGCCCTTTCAGGCCCAATGGAAGCCCAGGGACTGCGTGCGCTTGCCCCATCCAGTTCCGTCTCCCTCACACTGGTGAACTGCTTCTTATGAAGCCCACAGGCATGGCTCCTGCCAACTGCCTGGGGTCTAGTAGCTCCTGGCAGTGCTGTCAGACTGACATGGACCCTTGTCTTCTCCCATCTGCAGATTAAACAGAACCGAGACTTTCTGCAGGGACACAATACATACTTTTTAGAAGAACCTCACACCCGGAAAAGACTATATTAAAAATACCATTGCCTCTGAGAAAAATAAGGTTGGACGGGACTGCTCAAAACTGCAACTTCATAACCAGTGCACTACAAAAATCAATAATTACTAATAAAAATCCTACCATAATTCAAAAAAGACATGTTATGTTCCCAATCATTAAAAAGCCCAGTAAAGGCAGACTTTTACCATTTAGAAAGGTGGCAATAGTTTGGTGAAGAGGATAAGAGAACTGAAGCATCTAAGTAACAGAATTAGGGATAACTAAACCAACCGATTTATGACCCTACCAGACTGTCCAAACACCTAGTTAAAGAGCAGAGATTGTCAGATAGGATAAGAGACCCTACTCTGCTGGATAGAAACAGGAAGTGTGTGAGGTAGGACTGAAAATCATCTGGAGAAGGTGTGCATTTGAGAATGTAAAATTCATCTCCCAAGTATTACAGACCCAACCATGTGCCACCCACAAGAACCCATTTCAGCACTAGTATGTCCCACACAACAGCATACACAAAGGTGGTCCCCAAGATCTGTTCCCTACACACACTCTAGCCAGCACAATGTAAGTACACTCTGTGATGCTCACACAATGACAAATCACCCAACAACACATAGCTCTGCCTGGCTCCTGTTAAGTGATAGAGGGCTATGTAAAGATACAAACAAATTAGAAGTAAAGATGATGAATATATATTACACAAATACTGATCAAAAGAAAGCTGTAAAAGTTGTATTAGTATCAGACAACATAAATCTAGAAGAAGGACGTCATATGGAATATAGAGAACCTCTTAGAGACAACAAAGGGGGTGGGCCCAGGACGACATATCAATCCCAAACTTCATGCACCTGAAAACAGGACTTCAAGCTAAAGCAGAAATTCAGAAAAGCATAGGAGAAATGGACACAGCTACAATTACTGTTGATTACAGCTGGAATTTTCAACACCCTGCTCTTAGTAACTGTCAGAACACGTAGACAGAAAATTAGTAAGGGAGATTTGAACACCACCACCACCCTGCATGACGGAATGGCATTTGTACAATGCTCTGAGAACAGTGGAATGCGCTCTCCTTCCTTTCCTTTTGAACCCACACAAAACAGACATCCAGACCATGATGCAGAAAGGACTCAAGTCAGTATTTTCTGACCAAAATGGAGTTAAATTAGACATCAATAACAAAGATATCTGAAAAAAGAATCCAAAACATTTACAAACTAAATAATATACTTCATGAGTCAAGGGGAAAATTTCTGAACAGAAATTATAAATTTTGAAATGAATAGAAAAATGAAAATACAACATATCAAAACATGCAATGGTTAGAAGGAAATTTTCAGCACCAAATGCCTGAATTAGAAAAGGCGGCTGCAGGTCAATGATCTTAGGTTTCACTTTCAGATATCAGAAAAAGAACAAGCTAAGCCCAAAATAAGTCAGAAAAAAGACAGTAACAAAGAGCAGAAATCAATGCAGTAGGAAAGAGAGAGAAAAAAAAAATCAACAAATCTAAAAGATAATTCTTTGAGACAAGTAATTCGTAAGGCTCCTCCCAGACTGATCATGAAAACCAATGAGAAGACATGTATCAGTGATACCAAGGAGAGAGGGGATTAACAATAGCCATACCAGGATTAAAAGAATAATAGGGAATATCATGAACAACTTCATGCCAAGAAATTTAATAACTTAGATGAAGTCAACAGAGCCTTAGAAAACCCAGACTTCAAGCAGTCACTTGAGAGCACAGAAGCACAAGCAGGCGCATCTGTACGACTCCAGGTCCACCTGAGGGGCCGACTCACAACTCTTGCCATCCAGGGGTCTGCCTGGTGGTGACATGTGCCTTCCCTCCTTTCCTCTACGTCTGTCACTCAAAATTCAACAATGAGCTCTCCATGCCCCATCCTGCTGTTTAACCGATGACTTAATTCACATGGAATGGTAGATATTTGTTTTACTTTGTTCTTCACTGATAATTCAGTATGCTGCTAAAGTTTTGGCCACTGGGAGCTCCTTTAGGTGGATCCTATGTCTTTCTGACATGTCTCCACCCCAATCTTTATTCTTCAGTATGTTTACTTCTTGGTTTATAGCGATACCTCAGATTCCAATCCAACAGCACGAAGTTTACATTAGCCTCCTCTTCCCCTGTCGGTGAATTCTTCATCCAGTACACACACTTAACCTGTTTGGTGCTAGAACACACACAAAGTAGTCCCAGAGCCCTCAGTCCCCATACGAGGAACACACCCTTCATGAAGCTGCAGCACTCGTATACAGCTCTGCCTGTCTTCAGCCTTATCCAACCCACTTGTGACACCGTGTCCACGTAAGGCAGAGCTGGATTCTACACTTGGTGTTTGTATTCCATTTTGGGTTTCCCCCAAATCCTGGTCGGTTTAACTGTTTGTTTATTTTGGAGGTATGTGAAGAGTTAGAAATACAAATTTAAGTGGAAAAAGA